GCAGGAGAGTCTGTCCCAGGGGATGGGTCGGGGCCATGAGGTCCCCCCCTAGCCCTGCTGCCTTCAGCTGCTGAACTACAGCCCCTCCCCAGCGTCCCACCACTCGCAGGGAAGGAGGGACAGGGGATGCCGAGGCAGACCCTGCCCCATGCTCATGGACTTGCCTATGCGGAGCATGAAGTTGTTGAAGGACTGGTAGTTGATGTTCATCAACGTCACCTTCATGGCTAAGGCAAAGTCAGCCAGGTCAGCCAAGTGCTGCCAGCGCTCCTTATCCGAGAGGGTCTCCTTCTGCAAGGGCAGCGCAGGTCAGGCCTGCCCACCCCTTGCCCGCTGTCCCCCCACCACAGGGACCCCTCACCTTGGTGCTGTAGCCGTTGGCGTTGGCATCGGGGGTCACTCCAGAAGCAGCCATGTAGGTGCTGCCGATGGTTTTGATTTTGGTGATGCACCGGAATTGGGGTTCGTCCAGGAGCTGAACCGTAGAGACAAGACCCTCAGGCACCCCGGGGCCATGGCAGGTCCTTCTGCCCCCAGATGGGGCAGGAAGGGAAGGTCTGGCCAAGCCCCATGGCCGGCTCCATTCTGACTCACCGCGTCGAAGTCAGAGATGATCTCGTTGAGGAACCGCAGGCACTCAATGCCTCCGTTGTTGATGCTCTCCTCCGTGTAGAAGTCGGCGAAGTTGGGGAGGGAGGCGAACATGACGCCGATCTCATCGTAGGACTGGCTGTACAGCTCCTGGGGACAGGATGGGACGGTGGCTGGGAGCCGGGGACGTGCCCACGCGTGACACCAGCACCTCCAGCAAACCCAAACCCTCCTGTGAAGCCATCTTCCCTTGGCACGTGTGAAAAAATGAGGGTGCTCTGCAACCTCGCCTTGCATGGCCAAGACATCATCTTCACCCAACCACAGCTGCTCAGCCAGAGCCCTTGGCAAAGCCTCCAGATCCAGAGGGGCACCCCCCAAAAAAATGGGGGCAAATCCCTCCCCTCCTGGGTGCCCCTCACCTCATCCCGCTTCTTGGAGCCCAGGAAGTGCCGGGCCACGTGCTCGGGCAGCATGTTGGTGACGAGGGCCTCGTTCCAGCGCCGCATCTCGTAGACCCGCTCCTTCTGGTCGTGGACATCGATCTTCCAGAGGAAGAGGATCCTGGCCAGCTTCTCCACCTGTGGGTGGGAGGAGATGGCTGCACCCACAGTTCCCACCCACCAGTGGGTCCCCTCCAGCGCTGGGAGCATCCTGGCTGCTGTCGGGCCGGTTCGGGCTTGGGGACAGCCGGGAGAAAGGCTCTGGGACAGGGTGAAGCCCTAACTGGGGACATGAGACCTGCTCCGAAGTGCAAACGGGACCCTCGCAGGGTCCATGTTGCTGCCCAGCCCTAACCACGGGGTGAGATGGAGGTGCTCTCTGCACTGATGCGGTCCTGGAGACAAAGGGCTTCCTTGGGTGGGCTTCCTTGGAGAAAAGCTGATGATGCTGTCCACAGCTGGGGACAAATCCTGCTGCCTCGGAGCTTGCAAAAAATTAGGGCAGGGGCTGAGGGTGAAGATGCAGAGGGGTGCAGGGGTGAGTCGCTCACGTGGCGTGAGAAGTAGTAGAAGCTGAGCATCACGATGAAGATCATCACCGTCATGGAGTACTTGGAGGGGACCAGCGAGGACCTGCCGGCAGAGATGGTGAGGCGTGGGTGGGCGGTGGGCACGGCCATGCCCACCCAACCCGTGCCCACCCCCCTGCCACCCCTTACGTGCTTTTCTGGCCACGGCGGCGGTCGTACTGGTCAAAGATGTGCTCCCAGGCATAGATGTTGACGACGCCAGTGGCCCCGGTGATCAGCACCATGAGGGTCAGCTTGACCATGTGGCTGACCTGCACCAGCATGATGGTGGCCACCAAGGCCAGCAGGGCGATGTAGCTGTAATACTTGGGCTGCTCCCCGCAGCCGCCCGCCCGCGGTGGCCCTGCCGTCCCGTTGCCCATCCTGCCGTGGTCCTGCTGGCAGCAGACCTGGGGGCACAAGGGCAGGGTGAAGAGAGGGACATGGGGACAGGGTGCACCTCTCCCCAGGCTGCATGGCCACCCAACAGGACAGGCTGTTTTGCACAGCAGAAGGAGAACACCCGACCTAAAATCCCCCTGTCCGTGGTGCAGTCTTGCTAATTGCTTTAATGATCAGCCGTGCACGGGGCCGTGCACAATTATGG